CCGTGGCCTTTGCAGCAGAGGTTGAGCTGCCCCAGAAGATGAGATGTTGAGAAAGCAGTGCCTCTCCTCTTGGTCGCTGGGGTGGACCAGGTTGCTTTTGTGTTGGAAAGAAAAGGTGACTTTCACACAAGACTCACCTCTCAGTTGAGTAAGCCCCACAGGGTTCAGTAGAACTCCACCCACTGGGATGGTGGAAAGCCACACTGGCCAAGCCCACATCATGGCTAAGGTTCAGCCCTGGCCAATAAAGGTAAGGGAATGTGAACGCTTGAGCACGAAACATACCTCAGCCTGCTGAGCTCCAGTTCTGCTGGACTGTAGCTTTTCTCTCCCCTCCCTGAGCCCTCCACACTCTCGCACACACACAGCCCCATCTGCTGGGGGCTGACCCCCTTTCTGGCCTCAGAAGCCTCAGGCAAGCGTAGGGTGTGGGCACACCAGTCGGCTGGTGCTGGGCCCGCTTGAAGGCATTGCAGACGTTTGGTCCGTGTGTCTTTCTCAGGGGTTTGGTCACGAAGGATGGCCTCTTCCCACTCGAAGGATGCAGGGACAGCATACCATGTCTTGTCACCAGGTCCTCTCCCTCTCCCTGGGCAGCTTGCCCAGGCTTACCCTCTCAGTGAACCCTCACTGCCCTCAAGGACAACAGCAGGGTCTCAGCCAGAAAGCCTGAGGTGGGGGGGGGGGGCACCAGCAGGAGTCCCAGAACAGGGCCCTGAGGCAGGAGGAAATTTCCCAGATGGTGCAGTCCTGAAGGCCATGTGCCAGTCAGCCAGGCCTACTCTGTCCTCGCCTCCCCGCATCTCATACATGTTCTAACCAGGAGAACCAGGACAGCACATGGGCAGCTCAGGTGGTGGATAGAGACCTCAGATGTCCTCTTGCAGCAAGCGTCTGTATATGTTGTGGTTATTTTCTATCTTACATGTCCTCAAATGTTTATATTTCAATAAACTTCAACCTTTTCTGTCTCTCACATACACACACAGATGGGAAAAAGATTTAAAACCTTACACAATTTTAAACAAGTGTTGGTGAAGACGTGGAGAAAAAGGAACTCTCATACCCTGTTGGTGGGAATATAAATTGGTGCAGCCTCTATAGAAAACTGTATGGAGATTCCTCAGAATAATTTAGAACTACCATATGATCCAACTATCCCACTTTTGGTATTTATCCAATGAATATGAAAACAGTAATTTAAAAAGATACATGCACACCTATGTTCACAATAGCCAAGATATGAAAACAACCTAGAAGCCCATCTGATGAATGGATAAAGATGTGGTACATATATACAATGGGCTACTACTCAACCATAAAAAAGAATATCTTGCCATTTGCAGCAACATGGATAAACTTTGAGGGTATCATGCTAAGCGAATAAGTCAAATGGAAAAAGACAAATACCATATGATTTCACTCATGTGAAATGTAAAAAACAAAACAAATGAGCAAACCAAACAAAAACAAAAATGTAGATACAGAGAATGGAGCAGTGGTTACCAGTGGGGTAGGGGTGGGAGGGAGGGTGAAATGGCTAAAGAGGATCAACTATATGGTGACGGATGGAAACTAAATTTTTGGTGATGAGCACAAATACAGAAGTAGAAATATAAGGTTGTACACATGAAACATATAAACAAATGTTACCTCAATAAACAATAAAACACAAAACCCCCCAAAAAACCTTACACAATTTCAATAATAATGGTCTAAAATTAGAACACCATTAATCCATGGGAGCAGAGCTCAAAAAACATGCTATGAAAAGCACACTGTCTCTACTGCTATACAAATGTGCACGCAGCCTTAAAAGTATTTGTCATCAAGTGACATCCTAAACACAACTTGAAACAGACTCAGTAGACTAGCAAAGCCTTTTATATAATCAGTCCCCATTACTCCAAGATCAATTATTATCATACAATGGAAATGCAGGACTGGTGCAGCCTACTGAAAGCCAACTTCAGTGAAGCTAACCCTCAAATATCATTTGTATTAGTTTGAGCAAAAGGTGAGCTGCTAACCAGAAACCAATAATATGGCTTAAACCATAAAGACATTGATTCCTCTTTCACATAACAGTTCAGCACTCCATATGGTCACACAGGGATCCAGGCACCTTCCATCTTGTGGCTCTGCAACAATTCAAGGCTGGGTTGCTTTTCCTATTACTTTAGGGAAGGGATAAGAGAGAGCATGAAGGAAGTACATCCACTGTCCTAAGAGTCCCAGCCCAGAAGTAGCAGCACTTCCACTCAAATTCCACAGGAGAGAACTTAGTCACTTGATCACACCTGTGACAAGAGGGACACAGCAAATACAGTCCTAATTAGGCTGTCATGTGACTCAATTTCAATTCCATTACCATGGAAAAAGGGAAGAATAGATTCTGCTAACTATACCTTAGTTTTACTAGCTGCCCCCGCCCCACCACTTTTTTCTTTTTCACTGAATTGGGTACCATCAGTGCTCTCAAAAGAACTGGCAAGAAGGAGATGCTAACCCACAAACCTTGGTCTAACAAGCAGAATGTGGCCATTACTCACTGGAGGAGCCGGTGCCAGCCTGAGCAGTGTGACAGACATTATGCCGCTTGGATGGCTGGCTGCCCAAAACACTGAATATTGTCCACCATGAATATTTCAGGGATGACCAGATCACCATCTCCAAAGTTGTTGCCAAAAAACTGTCAGCGTTCTCCTAGGAGTTTAGGATCCCTCGTAGGAAAAAGTGTGAAATGAAGCTGAAACCACTATACAATATTTCAGCATTGTAGCACAGTCCTTTCTTAAGGGGATCTGCCCTCCCTTTCCTTCATGAGGTTCTGGGTCTGTGAACTGGCCCAGGGCTGGGGGGCTGTGAGAAATCAACATTTTTGGCAAGAATAAATACAAAGGTAATTATTTTAAAATCTTATCCTTAAGTAGGAGATTTCGGATTCAAAGTCCTTCATATTCTGCTCTCAACCTACATTTTTTTCCTACATTCGTCCCCTATTGTCTTCCCCAACCTGAACTTCTAATATTTTTCCTTTTCTCTCTGAGTAAGTCCTATTCCTCCAAGACCCAGGGGATCAAATGCCACTTCCTATGTGAAGCATCAAAAAATAGGAGGACCTACAACGTTCCAAACTGTGATAGGAACTGGGGTCACAAAGACAATGTGGTTCCTGTCCTCCAGAGGTTACTATAAAGACGTAGGATTTTAATTCTGTAATTCTCTGAAACTCAGATTCCTAATTACACAATTACTGAGCACTACTGTACGCTCAATCTTATCTCGCTTAACTGCTTTCTCAGATATGGAGACTCCCCAAGTCACCAAAGTTTCTCAAACTTCCTCCATCCTGCTGCTAAGTCAGGAGCAATCTTGCAGTAGAGAGTAATAAAAATCTACACTTAAGCAAAACACTCGAAGCCTGTTAAGGAAAAAAAAAAAAAAAAAAAAGACAATCTAATTATTTAAACCCAGTTGCTTTATTTTGCACTTTTAAAATTCACAAAAAGCTTCACAATATCTGCTCTTCCCCTGTTGATCATCAAGGCTTAATGGTAAGACAGTGAAACCTTTATCACAGGAATTGGGCATACTCAAAAACAATGGATCATTTACAAACAAATTTCTTTAATCAAGAACATTTTGCAACATACATACTCTGGCGTTATCTGAATTCATCTATCTTAAAATAAGACTTTAAAAAGCTTTAGAAATAAAACAGATTTAACACTGACAAGCCTACCAGAATAATGCTGATGGCAAGCTATAAACAGCTTTAAATGTTGAATGTAATTTGGGGAAAGGGGAAAAGGAATTACCTGTTGAACCTATATTTAAATGCATCTGTGAGTAAAACTTCTCTAGTTTAATGAATTTCAACAAAGTGAACAACTCCTTTGCCTCAAGGTAGTTGAGTCTCAAGTTTTATTTTTAAACTTGTGACATCTTGACTTAAGGAAATGAATCCTGGAATTAGAATATTTAAGAAGAAAAACACTGGCGCAAGAGAGAAACAAGACTACTTTCTTAGTCTTTCTAATGTGGATAACAGATAAAACCACTGTTCACCTTAGGGAAGAATAGCAAAGATGATACACAGGGTTTAGTTTTGGCTTATGTACAATATCTAAATTCAAGGTGGTCTCATATAGGAAACTTAATAATTGTTGTCTTCAATTAGTTTTTTAATTTGTGGAATGGCATAATACATATTTTGAGGCACGCATTACAGGATCCACTATAATTATTTACACTGCTATTTTCACTTTTAATATAATTTTTATCTACTCTGGGGTAGCTCTCTGGATTTAATCAATAGAGGCCACTAAAAATAATGCCAGAATTCAAGTGAGAAGAGAGTGGAAATGGAAAGAGGATGGGAGGATAATGAAATTGGATAGCAATAACAAACATTTTTAAAGGTTTCCGAACACATGCCATGAAATTACATATTTTGGCTAAATGCCATTGGGCAGCTGGAAGTGATCAGGAAATGAGTGGAATATCCTAATTGTCCCAGCTAGATTCTTAACTAACCCGTGATTTGGATGGCTCGCTCATGAAGGACTGTTTACATAGGCTGCTTGGTGAAGAGCAGTTGTGCTAGGCTTACAGCCTACTCTGCTTTGTTTCGTTCATAGAGGGCTATGTACCCCTAAAAAGGGCAGCAGAACAAACAGTCTGTTAGACAACAAACAGAGATTAACAAAGGCATAATCTGTAAATGGTTTAATTATGGATATGTCATCAATCACCTTCTTTCTTGAGATGGGGAATATGGGCCTATGGAAAAAATGAAACTCCACTACTCCCCCATATTGTAAATTTTTCTCTTCTGGTTAGAAAGTTTTAAAGAAATCTCAACTTTAAAATAGGCCTCATCTTTCATCTTGAATTGCCCCTTCTCTTAGTCTTATATATGATATTGTTTAAAACTCACACATCAGTGAGACTAGTCAGGAGTTTCAGGACCATTTTAATAGAAGACACTGAGTTCATTTACTTGGAAAACAGGATTTTATTATGGGGTGACTTTTAGAGATTTAAGTGCTCTGTTTTATCACAATGAGAATTATCCTCAAAGCAAATATTCTCTAAGATAACAAAGTATTCAGTTTACTTGGGTAATATACTTAAACATATTAAAAGTTACAAAGCCTAAGATAAGCAAGCAACAAGTCAATAAAATCACCTCAGGATTCTAACATCTTCACATGGTGTCACTGACTATGAAATGCAAAAAGACTATAAATGTTTAAGTGGAATGATCTCTAACCTATACATTACACTAGTGTGACCAAACAAATGATCGCATAACTAAGGAAGACTACAGGACATGAGTAAGTGCAGAAAGCTGCTCTCTAGGACTGCATTTTCAAGAAAGCTTGAAAAATTAACTGACCCATCACTTTAGGAGGGAAAAAAAAGATAAGTATGGATTAGGAAGCTCTACATGTAGATAAAAAAAATTCTAATTAAAATATCTTAGACTATTTTAGATGTTTATTTGATATTGGAAATGTTACTATCATAAAGTATTTCTCTTCATCACAAAAATTCCATATATTAAGGATTTACACAATCCAGGGGGGGAAAACCTAGAAACTTTTTTTTTGCCTGAGCAAGTAATCTAAAAAGGCTCTCCAAAATCTTGACTAGAGGTATCATACTCTGCAATAAAATGCTTGAGTTCTTCAACACACCGCTCACCTATTTCATGTAAATTCTGTCTCAATGCAAACTGTATAGACTTTTCTAATGAAGGATCTTTTTCAATCAGCATTTTCACAACCATCCCAAAAGTTTCACAGTCTTGTCGGTAAACCTAGAAAGATGAAATACATTGTGGTTAGCTAAGAATAATTAGCCAAACATTGAGCTGATTCAGCTGGCAGAACTATGGTGCTAAAATCTAAAAGGGAGACACAATACTGCTGAACCTCTCTTAGCTCTGAGTATACACTACTGCCAAAGGCCATTTAAACCTCTATCTCTGAGATTTGCTGACAAGTTGAATGAGTAGAAAAGCACTGATACACCACATCACTGACTATAGAAATCTGGCATGGCATTTGTCAAGCATAAGGCAGTCTACTAACAGGACATCAGACTAGAAACGAGAAGAACTGCAAACAAATGCCAGCTAGGTAAGGCACGTTGATGGCTTTATTCTTTACTTGCTTGGAAGAAGTAAGTTTCCAAGCCCCTAACTTTAGATTATTTGTTTGTATCATGACCAGATGACAAATTTTAAATTGTTTAGTATACAAAAAACAACTATAAGAAGGCTGAAAGTATTTATTTGAAAAAAGCTTTTCAAGTTATAAATATTTAACCATAATTAAAATCACCAAGGCAGAGTTAAGATCAAAACAGTATGTTATACACATACATGTTCATGCATGCATGTGTGTACACATATATGTATATATAGATACACACATGTGTACATGTGTATATATGTATATATTTTTTCCACCTCAATGTATACATTATACTATTTTACTTCAATATGTATATATAATTTTTATCAATGGCAATTAGGTATTATTTCCTGTCCAAAAATTGCTAAATTTTCTCCAGACTAAATGTTATTTCATCAGTTTACAGTCACAAAATGCATTTTAGATTTCTATGCTATTTTTCATACTCTGCAATTCAAGTATTTAAAGAAATATTACAGTTAAGTCTCCATGAAAATTAAGTGAAATACAAATTGTCTGATTTAAAAGATTTAAAAGAACTGTCACATTAATTTTAACTTTTCCAAATTTAACAAAAACAATCAACGTAACATGTTTATTCTCTGAAAAAGGATTTTATTTATTTTTTAAAACCTTAGAAAGAAGTAATTTGAGACACTGCTTCGCTTATGATAGTTTTCATTCCTCAAATGATCACTGCTAGTTGTGGTGGTTGCTGCTAATATTTTTTAAATGTCTACAAGATTGTTTTTATCCTTTAAAATAGCTATTTAAAGAAGAATATTTATTTTTGACTATCAGTACTAGGTTGCTAAATTATACTAAATTCACTTCTTTGCTCTTGAAAACTATTCACAAGCCCCAAATTAAAAAGAATAAGTTTTTCAAATGACCTAGAAATTAAAATATATAAAACCCTCAGCTGCCTTCTCCATCTCAGCACTAACACACACACACACACACACACACACACACTTTTTCTAAATAGTGATGAAATTTACTAATAGCCATTAAGTTTAATCCAACTATTTAAACCAAACATTTATTCCAGTTTATCTTAAGGTTTACATGACCCAGAATTGATATTACTAACTACTCTAATAAACCAACTTAGGAAACAGTATACCATTCACATGATATTACATAGGCTGTCAAGGCAATAGAGCACAGGAATTGGCCTAACAAACACAGAGTACCTAACCTAATGAAGCCAATGCAGTCCCCATGGGGGAAGGTAAATTCCTTACCAAACCAGTCAAGCCACATAATAACAGCATTCTAACACCAACCACAGGCCTCAGAAGACCACTTTGTGGGTGGCCTAAATTTTACAGGCTTCTTTATAGCAGATGTAACTAGATGAGGATAAGGTTACACTGTGAATTAACCTGCAAATTCTTTAATGTAAATCTGCTGTTTTACCTAAACTGTAACTCTTTGTTTAGCATATTTACAGAACATAAATGTACTACAGATTTGCATATCAAAAGTAAAACCATATTAAAATGTGTTCACACATTTAAACTGCAAACTACTGTCACTCTGGAGACAAGATAATACAAGCATTAAAGGTTGTGTTTTATTTTTTAATTGTAAATCCTTTTTGAATTATTCACTGAAATAGACAAATTTTTGTACATTAGTTGACAAGAACAACTAGAACTGCCCAAACTCTACTACAGGGTAGATTTTCTAAAAATACTGCTTAAAATGCAATGGTTGGGCATTAGACAGGAAATAATCAGTTTTTTGTTAAAGGAAGAACCTCACCCTCCAAACTTTTATAAATAAAATTCACAACGGTCAGAAACATATTTCCGAAATCTGTTCCACAGTAAACTCAATCCCAAACAGGAAGGGTGTAGTTATCTGTGGAAAAGTTTGTTTGCTTATGGTCCCAAGCTGGAAATGCATTAATAATCTTCAGATCTGATATCTACAGGCCACACAGGAAGATTTTTTGTTGTTGCGTTTTCCCTTGATTGGACCTCATCAAAATGGGAAACATGTTAAAGTTTGGGTGGGGCTCACATACACTGCATAGTTAAGTTTGCCAGCATAATGAAAACAGCCAGCATAATGAAAACACTATCCAAATGTGCTTATTATAGTAGTCTGTGTTAATAGTTGAATTCCCATAAAGTGCTTCTAGGAATAAAGGGATATGATAAAATAAACTACCAAGGCTTTTTACTATTAATTATGCTGTCTAGTGACTGAAAGAAGAATATCTGGCAAAATAAACTACATACTTATAATGACATAAAATTCCTCTAAAATGTATATCATTGTAGACCTTACCTCTGTTCCCACAAAAAAAGAAAACAAAAATTAAGGCAAGGGGCTTCCCTGGTGGCGCAGTGCTTGAGAGTCCGCCTGCCGATGCAGGAGACGCGGGTTCG